AAACATGCCAGGCTGGCACTCCTGGTCCCTCAGACCCCCAGAGCTGTGTCCCACATGTCCATGGGCCAGCAGGTTGTCCCCCCTGGGCTCCTGGGGTCCCCGTGGCGAGGGAGAACCCGGGCTGGAAGCCAAATCCGTGTCCCCTTCCCACTCCCCAAGCACCACGCCAGGGCTGTCCCGAGCGTGAGGACACACTTTGTCCTGGCCACGGGGATCCTGGGAGGGACTGTGATTCTGCCTGCAGACCCAGCACCCCCTGAAGCCCCAAGAGAAGCTGCTGGAGGCTGCAGGACCCCCCCAGCCCAGCCTGCCCCGGTCGCTGCCGCAGCCAGACGCGTCTGAGACGGCGGAGCGGAGGAAGACCTTTCTCCCAGTGCTTCTCCAAGAGTTTGAGGCACCCCCACTCCCTGTTAACCCCCGCGGGGCCGGTCCTGGCGCGTCTCCCTACCTGACAGGGATCTTCACCCGCAGGTACCGATCCACGGCGATGGCCAGGAGCGCCAGGATGGAGCTCTCGGTGAGGATGAGGACGGGACACGCCACCATGAGGCAGCTGTAAAACTCCGTCTGGGGGCCGATGTTGATGATGATGGCCAGGGGGATGACCAGAGCCCCCACGGCCACGTCGGCCACCGCCAGCGACACGATGAAGCAGAAAGTGGCGTCTCGCAGCGCCTGGTTCATCTTCACAGCCCAGATGACCAGGATATTGCCCGGCACGGACACCAGGGCGATGAGCACTTCGATGGAGATGTAGGCAGCCTGGAAGGCTGAGATGGGGTGTGCCATGATGCTCCGGTGCCCCCCCGTTCCCTCCGGGGTCTCTCGGTCACCTGCAGACGCACGGGGAGGCTGTGAGGGACTGGCATCGCCGAGCGCGCTGTGAGCGGGATGGAGCCTGGGCAGGGGGGTGGGAAAAAACCCTCTCCCGTCTGTGCCATCCCCTGGGGCTCCCACACCCCCCCGGGACTCATCCCGCAGTCACCCCTATCCCGCAGCCACCTCCATCCCG